ATGCCAACCTGGATAAACATACCATGTTCATGCCCATTTTCATACCAAAATTTCAACCGCCACCCTTTTTCCAAGTCATGTCTTGAGCCACCATGTTCTGTTCCATTCGTTGGCAGCCTTGGACTTTCATTGTAGTGCAAGTGCAGCCCTGATTGGAAAGTGGGAAATACTAGGCAAACAAAAAGACACCTGCAATGTCAAAATGGGGGCCAGTCAATATGAGCTACCCACTCACAACTGGTGATCATCGCACAAAATCAGCTACAGCGATCAGTTGATGGTTTTGACGTTTTGATCCGTTAAAAATCACCCTAAAACAGCATCTATCAGTCAATTGGCAGCACGCAAGATCAAAAGATCTATGAACATCCATGAACATCTATGGAATTTCTCGCATACCCGAAACCGTTCGTACCAAGAAAATCGTTGGAACTTCCTTTGTTCTTGGCACCGTTCAAGTCCTTGCTGGAAACCAGATGCGCATCGATGCAGTACTCTTGGTTGTGGATTGTTGGAGTGCTACAGATGGGGCATATCATAACATCGGCATATATTTTTTGATCTCTCCTGAACAGCATTCATGCAGTGTTGACAAGTTGACACATCTATATATAATTATACAACATAATGTACATATTTTGAAAGTATACATGTAAACCATGGCAAAGAATTATGTGTGTGCGTGTTGTATTGTGTTGTATGTTTGATATCTTTTCTCGAGCACATCTACAGAACACTTCTCAAAATCGGCAACAAGTCTCGAGTCCAAAAACGGCTCGAACGCAGCATTTTGACCTTGCGATCTGGGTGAGAGCTGGAAAATCCTTTGGCGTTAGACCTTTGTCTCTTTGAGACGTCTTTCGGCAGAGTGACCTGGGGACTTGGGGACTTGGAAAAAAGATGAAACAAGCATCAGATCATCATCCCGTGAGAGATATCTTAAAAGAAGAGTAACGTTGGGCGATATCCCATGGGCTGAATACCGGTGAATAGCCCATGAATGGTTCATGAAACATAAGGTTTTCACAGCATGTGTTTGATGTTGGACCTCCTGCCAAAACAGTTGGTTTATACATATCACATTTTTTATTTATTTGTTCTAAACCGTAAGCCTCAACAACATCTCAAATGCACTGGTGCTAAAAAAAATGATTCTTTTTAAAACTACAACATATGTGGCCAAACATGTATATATTATATTATATTATATTATAATATAATTGCGTTTTTTTGTGATATGTACATATATTTATGATTATTTATGCTTATGCCCCAAATCTGTGGCAAGGGCAAGGGAAATTCTGCACATCATTGTCACCCACCATGTAGCCATTTGGCAGGACGATCGAATCCACATCAATGTCTTACCAGTTCCACTGCTTCCGTCAGCCTCAAATTCTTTGTCCGGAGGGCCCCAGAGTGACTCCGCCCTCTGTGCGCGCAGGGAACCCTTTCGAGCTTCCTGCAACTACACCCGCCCAGACACGCTGTTTGTGATGCCAGTAACAAACCCCTACCATGGGCGTCGATTTCGAAGTAGCTTTGGGCAAGTGTCCTGGCATGAGCTCCCCTTTTAAAAAGGCACATTAGTATATACTAAAAAAAAAGCCTTGAAAACCATGTTTTTTTGATTTCTTCATTTTGGGACCAGGAAGGGAATTTTATATGGGACGGATTCACCATTATGTCATAGACCGTATTATCCAAAGCACAACAAGTCTAACAAAACTATCTATAATTCCTCATCAATTCTCATGAATTATTCAAAACTTGTCATAAATAATCATCAAGTATATTCAATTATCCATTTATTAGTCATGACAAACCCATCCAGGAACTGTTTCTTCCAGATGTCTACAAGTCACACCAGACATCACCGCGTCCGGCACGCTTGCTGATTCAGCCAGCGGAAGAAAATGGTTGGGTCCAGATAAAGGACGAGCATCCCACTTCGGAAGTGGCTTAGAACCCGCGTATCTAGGTAAATTAGATATAATATGTCTAGATAAATGTTACTATATATATAATATTAAATACATTAGATATGTTCTAATTATATATATATAATATGTCTGGGTAAACTATAATATTACACTAACCTGAATTAAGGCCATCTGGGTATGATTCCCCTTGCTAATCGCTAACCATGATTCTAGTGAGGTCACAGTGAGGTCACTACAATTTGGCCCGATATGTGTATATATATACACATACACATATACATACACAACTGGGGTATACACTATGTATGCCAAACCGAGATTGAATGAGTCACGGTGTGCTAATTATTAACAATTCGCAAATGGGATGCACATCCCATGGCCAATCTTAGATACCCTGCAAACAAATGCTAGCTGGTTAGTAGATATTCCTGTTCTGTTTAAACAGATTAAAGTACTGAACTACCCATGCACGGTTGACCTCGATCATCCGGATGATCCAAGTAACACAAAAAAACATGCTTCACTGGTTGAAACCATGATGATTGAACCATGGATTTATGGACATGAAACCATCACTGAAGAAAAACACCTGAACATCACCAAACAACCATCCAACTCATGGCAATTTTAATATCGAAATGATTTTTGAAGTACGGAATTTTAGGATAACTACCCTATGTTCAAACAAAAGACACCAAGAACTTGACACTGGAAAAATCAGGGGGATGGGATGAAATGGAGTCCACAAACTTTCACAACAAAACAAAGTCGAGTATTGGTAACAAACCATATTAATATTGGTAATATTGGTATTTACCAACAATAGTTACCATTGGTACCCTCTGGTAAACTAACAGTTTGCGAACTGGAAAATCACCATCTTTAAGTTCGGTAAATCAACTATTTCTATGGGCAATTTTCCATAGCTATGTAACAAATTACCAGAGGGTAATCAGCTGGTAACCAACCACCACTGGTGGCTGTCTCCGTCATCAAGACCACCAAGCCAAAAAATGGGTCAGAAAACATGATAAGAAATCATGGGCTACTCATGGGCTACTCCCCATTAAAATCTCTCAAATGGTCAAACATACCCGTATGTATGTATATATATATAATACAGGTGTAACTATATGTGTATATATACATCTCAACAATATCCCTGTTCCGGTTGGTTTCAAACCTCACATTTATGGAGCCATAGACTTCGCAGCCTGAGCTTTATCTGGACCAGCGAAAATTGTGGGGGGATCAACAAATCCGGCCGTGCGATCGAAATCTGCTGCGAATGTAGAGGGACATCACAAGACATGAACGTAGCTGAATATATCTAAATATTCTATTCAGGGTATCTGGATCCACAAAAACCTTGAATACAACATAACAGTCTTAAATCATTTCTTGTTGGTTTTCAACACTATGAACAAGAAGTTACATGACGCTCAGAAAGTACGTAGTAACCCTGCCAGAATCCAAGCAGGTACATCCAATATCAGTGGTGGGCAATTTCAAATTATACAAAGAAATTGAATATCAAAATGTATGAATCATCTTACCATCAATCAGTGTTGCTCCTAACATCCCAGGTGAAAAGGGATGTAAAATTGGGAGACAAAGAGGCGTGACCGATGCTGCCCCTTGTGGCTATCATTCTGCTAAGTTGGAGCCAAGCGCCAAACTTCATATCCATTCCAGCAATTTTAGCTCACGAATCTGCAGCGCTGGCAACATATTCACTTAACAATCAACATCTATGAAAGAGGTGCTTATAATATATATATATATCTTAAGGCGGTTAGAGTACTTAAAATCTTCTGATTCTTGGTGGTTTTGTGCATCACTCAACATTTCTATGGGCTTTCTATGGTCATCTGCCAAAGAACAGCCCACCTTTTGGCCAACTCTGGGTCTGCTCTTATGGATTCCATGCATATCTACGTCATATCTCTCTCTCTCTATATATATATTATGTATGTATCATCTACATCATATATATATACACATATGTTTTAGGTAATACATATATATATATGTATACATATACACACTATTTTACGTAATGAATATATATATATATATGTGTGTTTGTATAGTATTGGTGTATACTGTATACATATATCCATACTCAAAAAAATGGAATTCGGATTGGGGCAAAGGATCGCCATCACAAACTTCGATGTTCTTCCCACGGCCGTCTGTGATGTGCTGCGCTGCCCGCCCGATGTCACTTGAAACGTCCACAAGTGAACCACCATGTGGTCAAGAGATTTGGTTTTGGAGATACTCATCCAACATCCTATTTGAAGCGTAATTGTGGAAACATCGATGGACGTCAACTTACATTCTAAATCCCTTTTATATACCTCGGGGTATAGAGCCCCATTGATATTGCCACATTGCCACAGCTGTAGAAACAATCACGCGGGTCGCAAACGTGGGCGAATTTTCTTGGGAATAAGTGGCTCAGATTGGGACCTTTCAACATCATTTACCATCATTTACTCATACTCGATGGTTGTGAAGAATTGAGAAAATTGCCTCTATTCCCGGTCAGCGTTTAACCCCAGACCTATAGGATTCAAATCTATGAGTTTTGCAGTGTCTATGCCGTGAAATCTGAAAGCTCTCAGCTTATCGCAAACATGGATCCGATACTAATTACCCTCTGGTAAACGTTTACATAACGAACTGGAAAATCACTATTTCTAATGGGTAAATCAAGTAGAAATGCGCCATTTTCAATAGCAAACTGTTAGTTTACCGGAGGGTAACCACATAATGGCAAACAAAAACACATCTACGCTAACCAAATTGGACGACCAAATTCTCATTGTGTCGCTTAATTCACCAGGCAATCATCATTTCTTATGGTCAGAATCCCAGGCAGAAATAGCCATCATCACGGTTGTTTCACTCATGGTACTGAAGAGTACAGTTATTCCCTTTTTCTTGTTGGGGCTCCAGGTTGGTCGAAGGCCCCCAGCAGTTTTAGTTGCTGTTGTCGTTTTCACCTCCACCAGTTTTTGTTAATCAAAGTGGGTGGATCACAGTGTGTGCTCATCGTCGCCATTCACGGCTTGAAAGGAAGCTGCTGTTCAGAACTTGCTGTCGCTCCTGTCGTGCGGGGTTTTTGAAGCCTCGGAAGAGGGTAGCTATGGCTATGGCTAGCTGAGCCATTTACATAAAGGCATTCATCAGCATAAACCTCACTTACAGTGTATATGTATATTTGCAATATTCACGCAACACGCATATATATATATATATGCATACATACATGCAAGTGTATATATCTACACATACATGTCGTATATATATATATATATTATATTATATATGTGATTACAGGTGTGCAGGCTTTTGGCCTCCAAGTAGGATGGATCATCCTTCTTGGGTGCCATCAATGATCGCTCACCGCTCACCAGTAAAGCATGAGCGACTGGCAAAGCAAACATATAGAAAACCATGAAAAACAATGGAAACGCCATTGAATGTACTAGGCAATGTACCATAATGGATTGGTTCAAGGGAACATCTTAACCGGAAACCATGTTTTTGACCATCCAAAAAAAAGGGGGTTCCGGTTTCAATTTTCCCACCCAATTCTGTGATACCAGGGATTTGGCGACTCATACCACATAGCAACACAGAAGGTGATTTTGTCCGCATGTCTTGGGCCTTAAAATCCTTACACCCCACCCCCCAAAAGAAACACTTTTGTGGCAATAATAGGCCATCATGTTTTACAGATAAATCATTTGAACATGGTGAAATTCCATTGCCCGGTCTGAAGAGCACACCTCATGCCATGCAGCTTGGTGCATGGCAAAACGATGACATTTACAGGACCCTAGAATTCCTAGGTTTCCAACTTGTCTATTTTGGGGCTGCTTTTGTGGGGCATCAAATCTTCCTGGCTCCATTTTTTTGGCCAAACAACCATCAGGATCAGCGTCCTTGCTGTCTAAAATTGGGGTATAAATCGGCTCGCAATGAACAAGGAAAATATCGGAAAACGATGATTGAGAAGTGCGGGGTATAAAATGATTGAGAAGTTGATGTGTATACACCATTTTCGCACAAACTGATTCAAATTTAGCAACCAAACGTTACAAAATGACCCATGATTGACCTGCGTTCACCAACATCGTTCACCCTACGTTTTCCGTACGCCTCGACAACTCGCGCTCGTCGGTGTTTTCTCAGGCCCTTGCGCTCCTTTGCAGCGAAAAAAGGTTGGTACCAATGGACCTAATGTGGGCAAAACAATGCCATGTTTACCACCCATTTTCCTGGGAATGGTAGTCACATACCACCATTTTTGATCTATTTATGGTGATGACTGGGGATGGTAACTATTATTGTTTTACCCACGTTACACTGTGTTTCTTGTGATTGGGGCGCCTTCCAGTTTGCTCCCATACCTGTACCTTGGACAAAAACAACCATAAATGGCTTTGGTCTGAACCCACATGATTTTTGCGTTGCGACATTTTCTCCCCACAAAAACATGATTTGTTGTTGAAATACCCAATATTGCCAATATATGATATATGTTTCTTGTGACATAACATTTTTTGGGGTTAAGAGTTGGAAAACCATGTTTTGCAGGTTAAACCCATGTTTTTTTGTACATGTCCATGCTCCTTTTTCCCAATTTCATGCAGAATTTCTTGACGACATAAATCTGGTGAAAACCCACATTTCATCACATTTCCATAGCTTAATGAGCAGTGTTCAAAAACTGGTGTCATACCTTTATTCTGGTTGCTTGATCGTGAATTCCCCAATGGATTGTGATAACCCCCACTTTTTTTTGGTCAGAAAACAAGCCCCGAACGAATCATCAACCGGCTTGTGAACACTGACCCAAAATCATATTCTGATTGGTTGTATATCCTTTTTTTTGCCATGAAATATCTCTAGCTATTCCATTATGTCCGTAGATTTTAAATCTAGCTCACTTGACCCATGAAAGAAACCACGCAGCGCGGTGACGCGGTGCCCTGTCTCCTTCTTGCGTCGTTCTTCCAGGGATGCAGGGACCGACTCAATGAGGCCGTCGATACCAGTGTAGTGCCTCATTTTCAAGACGGCGTACCATAGTTCAGTGCTGAATATATATATATATATGGATATATTAAAAAGAAGATTTGATTGGTTCTACCCTTCGAGCCCGGAGTAAATTAACTGGATAGCAACTGATTTACCGTCCTAGTGCACCACAACTAGCATTAAACGAACAACAAAACTCCTCCACAGCTAGATACCAATATTAAACCACCAAAATGGCCAACAATGATATGTATATAATTAATTAAACCCCACATATTGCTTATATATATATGTAGAATATTGTACATATTTATATATATACATATACATATTCTACATACATCATGTATGTATATATGTATGTATATATATATATAAATACACGAATATAATAAAGTTCGATACCATCCACTTACCATTCAATCCTTCTCCGAATCCGAGGAACTCTTCAACCTTGCGACGAACGTCGGCGTTGCTGTCCATGTAGAAACGGAAATCGCCCTGGAAAAAAACGGCGGAAAAACAACGACCCAAACAGTGATAACACAATCAGTCAAGGGAAGAACATGTTCTGGTGCGAAATTCGAAGATTTGCTCGGTTTGTTTGCAATTCAAAAAAAATAGAAAAGTGGTAAACCCGGAAATTAACAGAAAATATATATATGAAAATAGCATCTAAACCATCCTGGAAACACGTTTCATTATTTTTGGGGGTTGCGAAATGTCGACATTTTCATAGGAACTCTCGAATTCGAAATCAGCGACAAAATAAATCATATAGACATAGGCAATTTTCATCATTTTTCCAAATTCACATAGCTATTGGACTAGTACTACTAGTTGGTTCATGGTCCATTTAAAGAGTGTCACCCTGCTTCGTCAGAATCCCCTGGGCGTCCCAAACATCATAGTGCTTCACCTTGCCTCGGCCAGTGTTTTTACATGTCCTCTGTCCCTTTAAAAAAAACATTGTTAATAGAAATTCCCAGCTCATGGATTATAATCAACCCTAATATATTGGACAGTATATTTATATAATCCCTAAAAAAAATCAACCGACAGGGTTTGAAACATTTGATCCCCTTAAATTCTATTGAGCCACCATTCAAGACCACTAAATCACCATTTCAACACCACTCAATCACCATTCAACACCACTCAATCTCCATTTCAATCAACACCACTCAATCACCATTTCAACACCACTAAATCACCATTCAGCAACACTAAGTCACCATTTCAACAGCACTCAATCACCATTCATCACCACTCAATCACCATTTCAACACCACTAAAACAAAATTCAACACACCGAAATCACCATTTCAACACCACTAAATCACCATTCAATGCAACACCACTAAATATACTAAATCACCATTCAACACAACTAAATCACAATTTCAAAACCACTAAGTCACTATTTCAACACCACTAAATCACCATTCAAGACCACTAAATCACCATTCAACACCACTAAATCACCATTTCAACACCACTAAATCACCATTTCAACACCACTCAATCACCATTTCAACACCACTCAATCACCACTCAACACCACTCAATCACCATTTCAACACCACTCAATCACCATTCAACACCACTCAATCACCATTCAACACCACTCAATCACCATTTCAACACCACTCAATCACCATTAAACCATTAAACACCAATCGGGGTACCCCTCCCACTGCTCGACTGCTGCACTCAATCCCGACGGCTCTCGCCAAGTATCCATCCACTACCTCGACCTTGCTAAGGCGAGTCTTCGGAATGGCTAAGTTGGTGAACACTCCATTATGGTTATTTATAATGGTTTATATATGGTTTATGATATTATATCCAACTATTATAGTGAATAACACTCCATTATATATAACTATAGTTATGAATATCCAAGTTCACTATGGTTTATGGTATTCATAACTATAGTTATATTCTCCATAAACCCTAGTTATTGGACTTTATGATAAACCAACTTAGCAAACTAGGGCGCCCCATGTATGATATTCATAGCTATAGCGAATCGGGTAACCACTAACCACTATAGTAATAAATGATTTCGAAAAAGCCACGATGAACATGACAACGGACTATAACGAAAAAAAAGGCGATGATATTGATGAAATGAACATGATAATTAGAAAATACATATCATCTTCATGTCATCATTTATACGAAATCAAACAAGTAATCAACCAGTAACATCTTCAGATCATCTTCATGTGATTCATGTCACCATTACCACAACTTTCACAATACAATAACTTAATAACTTATGGCAAAACTCTACTAAAGCATGGTTTCTGGGGGGTTCCAAAAAAGTGGCCATGGGGATAAAACGGATTCAGTGCCCTGTCTCGGCCCCTGAGCCCTGTCTCCTGGCAGGGTCCATGCCACGGTCAGCATCTATCTGAAGTGCCATTGTAATAGGGTGTATATGTGTATATATATATAATTAAACAATATATTATATACATATATATGTAAAATAATAATATATAAATATATATATATATATACGTATATATTATATATAATTACAACTATAATATATATATATATATGTTCCAGGTTCGGGGACCCCCCCTCCCCCCCATGGTCATGGTTCCCCCCTCCCCCCTGTGGATGTGGGGGTTGGGTGGGTCCTGTAGGT